CTATGATGTCACAGCTCACAGCAACCTCTAACTCTTGGGCTTAAGTGATTCTCTTACCTCAGCCTCCCAAGTAGCTGGGACTACAGGCACCCACCACAATGCCTGGCTGTTTTTTTGAGATGGGGGGGGGTGTCTTGCTCTTGCTCAGGCTGGTCTCGAACTTGTGAGCTCAGGTAATCGCCCTGCCATGGCCTACCCAAGTGCTGGGATTACAGGTTTTATCTATTTTTAGTAGAGACTGGGTCTGGCTCTTGCTCAGGCTGATCTGAAACTCCTGATCTCAAGCAATCCACCGGCTTCAGCCTCCCAGAGTGCTATGATTACAGGTGTGAGCCATGGGGAGGCCTTGAATAAATTACCTTAGCTGAGATGGAGATCAAGTACCTCAGAGGAGGTCACACACATTCAGTCATCAGCTGGTTCAGCAAGAACCCAAGAGTTAACTTCCTGAAGAGCCACATATGCACATATCCAATTATGCTTCCAGTCCCTTTGCTTTAGAGCTGAATAAACTTCAGTTTATCAATGGGGCTGGAAGTTCTCCTAATTCCACAGCCCCAACCTCCATACTCATTCCTGTCCAAGGAAACGCCCCCTGCTGTCCCTCTGTTCTTTTGGGCTTCCTCCCCTGGTGGGCAGATTTCCCTTTCTAGCCCTTGGGGCAGCTGCACAGCCAGGCTGTGACCTTACAGGAGCAATTGCCTAAAAGAGGCTCCGCCTTCGACTATTAGGCATGGGGCCCACCAATCTGGCTTCTAATAGGAGCCTCTTATTCTATTTCCATTAAGTGCCACTGTTTTAACCCTGGCCTCCACCTAGGTGCTGAACTTCCTTCTCTCTTATTTCCTCTAGCCCATTGCTTCTAAAACTTGACATCTCCTGAAGGGCTTGCTAAAACAGATTGTGGGGCTCCACTCCCAGAGTTTTCTGATTCAGTAGGGTTAGGGTGAGGCCTTGCATTTCTAACTAGGTCCCAGGTTATGGTGATGCTGCTGGTCCAGAGACTCACTTAGTGGGAACCACTGCCTCTTGTCCAATATTGCTCCCAACTAGAGAGGCTACCTCCTTGCTCCACTTCCACCCCAGGTGTTCTCCTGCCCTGAACACCCTGTGACTATGGAACAGTTGCAGCAGCACAGGAGGCTGGAGACCCTGAAGGCAGAACCTGAGGAATTTGGGCTTTATCTCGGGCACCCCTGAAGGGTTTGTCCAACTTGGAAAGCAGGTAGTAAAGAAACTTGGAAGTCAATAGGTCCTCTGTGTTACTAGGACATTTCATTGATCCAGCTTTACTGATCTCACATCTTCATTCAATACAATGATTGGGTGCTAGGTCTGGGGTTACAAAGGTGAAAAGGTAGTGCTCATAGCAACTAGAAAGTAAACATGCAAACAGTCACAGCGGAGGAGATAACTGTTCCTGGGGAGGGAGTGTCAAGCTTCTGTGAAGGGTGAATGGGGCTCTGGCATCTACCTGGTAAAGTGGAGGTTTCATAGAACTGACACTTTATGCTGACTGGCAGGACGACTGGGAATTTTGCAGGTGGAATGGGAAGCTGGGGAGGGGGGAGGGTTTTCCCCAGGCAGAAGGAATGAGCAACAGGAGGGAGGTGGTTGAGAGAACAAGTAGCTCTCCTGCAGGGTCTGGTTCCCTTCTACCTCTCAGACAGCCCTTTGTCAGCTGCTGTCCCTTAGGAGCTGGTGTGCCCAGGGCTCTTCCTGGCAGCCTTCTCTCTTCATGTCCACTCCTGGTGAGCTCCTTCACACCTGAGGTGTCACTCCCTGCTCACTGATAGGAGAAACACAGATATGGACCCTCAGTGCCACACTCACCTCCACATGGGGCCTCCTGTATTTTGACCTCATGAATGGCACCAGCATTCACCTAATTATCTAAGCCAGAGGGCTGTTTGAAATGACCCATCTTATTGATAGCTGGCACAGTAAATTGCTGGTGCCATTTACCAAGTTAGAACACAGAAGGAGAACTGCTGGGTGCATTTCTGAGTCTACAACTAATTGAGTGATCTTGGACAAGTTAATCTGTCTCCTTATGTGGAAAATGGGTTTGATGATAGTACCTACTCACAAGGTTGTTGTACAGACTAAATAGTAATAATGGTTGTCATTTAGTAAGCCCCATGTTAAGCACTTGACTTGGATTCTGAGTTGAGGAGTCCCTAGTCCAAGGTCACACTGGCAGAACCAGGTCTGGAAACCAGCGTTTTCTTGCTGCAGAGCTCCACGCACAGAGCTACCTTCTTCACCTTGTTGCCACTCTTTCTGGAGATTGTGCAATAAATTGGAAATGCACATGGTATAATGTTAAGCAAAAATGGATGACGAATTGCATAATCAGTGTGATTACAACCATCTTTTCTTCTTTGAGATAATATCTTACTCTGTCACCCAGGCTGGAGTGCAATGGTATCATCGTAGGTCACTGTAGCCTCCAACTCCCGGACTCAATCGCTCCTTTCACCTCGACCTCCCCAAATGCTAGGATCATAGGCATGAGCCACCATGCCCAGCCCTACAACCACGTTTTTAAAAAAGGAAACTAATCCACAAACAGAAAATGCCAGAAGGAAATATGGCAAATAATTAAGTACAGTTGTATTTGGGTTAATTTTTTTCTTCTAATTACCTGTATTTTCCACACGTTCTTTAATATATTTTTATTAAACAGTTATTTGAAACATTAAAAATCTATTACATTAAAAACAAGGTTGCAAGTCCTGTTCACCTGTTTGATTGCAAATTACACCGGATTAGTATTTCTCCCTTATTCTAGTCTTACTTTTCCTGAACAGAAACTTCAGTCTTCCCCAAGGCCACAGTAGGAAGTGGATATTGCAGCCATATTCACCACCCACCCCACAGCTGACAACCTGGCCACAGGAGCAGGCTGTCAAATCAGGCCTTCCAAACAGAACCTAGGCTTCTAACGCCCAGGGCTTTCGGGACAGCTACTTCAGATCAGTTACTCCCTCCCTCCACACCCCCTTATAAATAGCCGGCCGAATGCTCTTTTTCCAGTTCTGGCTGAGTTGTTAGCTTCTGCCGGGCGGGGACGCCTGCCAGGTACCTGACTCTGTGAGCACCGCCCAAACTGGTCAGGCCAGTCCGCCCTGTGGCTGTTTCTGCCAGGACTTGCCCATGTGTGTGCGCGTGTGTCAGAGACCCAACCTTCTCCCCTGCAACCCAGGTAGGTGGAAGGCAGCTGTAGACACCATCCTGGCAGTCAGGCCAGATGGGTGGAGTTGAATTAATTTAACCTGGAATTTCAACTTGGCCGGCACAACAGGTGAGGGGAAAAAAAAGCAGCTGAGAGAACCGGCTCTTTAGCAACTTGGAAAAATTTTTGCGCCTTGCCCCTTACCCCTGCCTGGAACACAGCCTACGGTGACTATTTAAAGTGTCCGCGCCCGGTTCTAGGGTTGCTCGGAGGTTGTCGGAGCCTCTCTCCCGAAGGCTGTCCTCCTCGTTTACCCTGCGCGACGCGCCGGTTCCCCCTCCTCTGGGAGGCAGGGCGGGGGTATCGGATTAGTCTTTGTTTTCGACGCGAAAGAGTCGAGAGCGGCGCGGGGGAGGCTTTCGATGGCAAGGCCCTGGGGTACACCTGGGCAGGGCACTCAGCCGTGACCCCTGCGAGGGTCCCCACAGCCTCGGTCCCGAACACCCCCTTCTTGCCAGCCAAGCTGACTCGGTACGCAAACGCGCGATGTCCCCCATTGTCCTGAGCTAGCAGTTGTCGGGGAAGGGGGGTGTCAGTCAGGCCCGGAGCTCAAGGCTCCCACAAGCGCCAGGGGTATCCCGACCCGCTCTGGCCCGAAGGGAGTGGCAGGAAGTGGGGACACCGAGGTCGGCCCAGCGGAGGGCCGGGGCTGGGAGGTCCGCGTGCCCCACCCCGCCTGGCGGGGCCCCGGCTGCAGCACCGCCTGAGGCGGCTGCGTCCCGGGAGGTCCCACCGCGGGGGGGAGGTACTGCAGGTGCAGAGACGCGGGGCCGAGCCGGACCCTGCCCCCACCCACTAGCAGGCCGCTCGCTCCGACCCCTCCCCCGCTGCGAGAACTCCCACCTCGCGCGGCCGGGAGCCGGCGGAGGGGGCGGTGGCAGGGCCCGCAGGGCTCGGCGGGGCTCGGCCCGGCCGCACGTGCGCGCCC